GGCAGGGACATTTGTAAAACTTTCAACAATTACGATAAATTTTAAAAAATAAGTAAATAAAATTATCTTTCAAAAAGAAAGATTCAGAAAGATTGTGTTGAAGCACAAGTCTGTTTCCATTTGGGGTCTGTAAGGTGTGAATGGGTACCCAGTCTCTCTGTCCCACCCCTTCCCCTTGCCTAGCTAAAGCAAGCGCCTGAATGTTACAGTTATCAGAGCCGGTCCAGGAGAGGCTGCCTCCCCAGTCCCGTGATGTGGCCCAGTTTCCACCTGATTCTGGGTGACCTTGAGGACATGGGGGTGTTGCTGGGAAAGGGGAGGAGGAAAGGGGCAGTAACTAAGTGGTGAAGTAGGCAACCAGCTACAATCCCCAGGTCTCTCCTCCTGCTATTCCATCCTGGTGAGAAGAGGCCAAGCCAGTCGGATCAGGGATGCTGATTTGAGGTCCCGGTGTAAGGCTCAGAGGATCCTGAGAAGCCAGGTAGTTCCACATGGGTGCTCCTCCATTCTCAGAGCCAATCAGTCTTCAAAGGGGAATGGGGCAGAAGATTAAGATACAGCTCTTCTGAATCCCAGACTTTCCAGAACAATGTTGCTCTAAGACGGAACTCGCTGTTTTAGAATGATCTGGGAATATCTATTGTAAGTGTAGATTTCCAGGTTTCACTGGTGATGTGTGAACGGGTGGCTCAGGAATCACTATTACAACTATGATTCCAACAGTTGCTCGTCAGTTTGAACACTCACCTAGAAGGTGGGAAGGGCCTTTGCTTGGTTTTGCTGTCCAGTTATAGGTCAGGACACCTGTTGAGGCTGGAGTTTGCATTATTTGTGCCACTCCATATGATGCTGTAGGTGGCCCCTTTCATGTCTACCTCCAAATCTGAGTAAGAAAATGGTAGAGGGATATATCTCAAAGTGACCATTTTTCCATTTAAGCCCTTTGTTTTAAAGATGGGAAACAGGCCCAAAGTCATAGCGGGCCAGGACTGGAACCCAGGACTGGAGTCTGTAAGGCTCTCTAATTTCCAGAGGCCCTTTCCAGGGAACTGTGGGGCAGAGGGAGTGGAGGGAGCAGGCTCAGGAAGGCCCCTGTGTTACAGCCCCCACCGCGGATGGCGTGGTTGGTGAACATGACCGAGCTGGAGGACCGCCTTCGGTGCCCCATCTGCCTCGAGGTCTTCAAGGAGCCCCTAATGCTGCAGTGCGGCCACTCCTACTGCAAAGGCTGCCTGGTGTCCCTGTCCTGCCACCTGGACTCCGAGCTGCGTTGCCCTGTGTGCCGGCAGGAGGTGGATGGCAGCAGCTCCCCCCCCAACGTCTCCCTGGCGCGGGTGATCGAAGCCCTGCGGCTCCCCCGGGACCCGGAGCCTAAGATCTGCGCGCACCACAGGAACCCGCTCAGCCTCTTCTGCGAGAAGGACCAGGAGCTCATCTGCGGCCTCTGCGGCCTGCTGGGCTCCCACCAGCACCACCGGGTCACGCCGGTCCCCACCGTCTACAGTCGCATGAAGGTGGGCAGGAGGCTGCTGGGGGGCGGGAGCCAGGCCGCCCGGGGCCCACGGAGCCCAGCTCCTGCGCGCTCTGGCGCCATCGCGCGGCACAGAAGGGGCCTGGGACAGGACTCGGGTGCTCTCCCGCCCTGTCCTGGAACAGAAGTCCGGAGCGTTCATTCATCCTTCACGGTCTGAGCAGGTGCTGGGGATGACAGCCATACTCAAGAAGGCGAGCACCCTGCGTCACAATGCTAGCCCTTCCCCTGCTTTATTTTTCTTTGTAGCCCTCGTTGGTTTCTTGAACGCTCCTGGACTGCACTCTCAGGCACAGGAGGACAGGGACTTTGTTTTGTTCCCTGGAGTATTTTTGTGCCTGGAGCCGTGCCTGGCATAGTAAGTGTTCAAAATGAATTTTGGAATCAGTGGATTCCTGTCCTTCTGGACCTTTGCCTCAGGTCTAGCAGATCATCATTTAAAATAATAATAACAATGATACCATCTTAAGTTAATATGTTGGTCTAAGGTTTGTGAAGGGTGGGTTGTTATTGTATTTTGCAAATGAGGAAACTGAGGCTCAGAAAAGGTCTTACCCAAGGTCACACAGCTTGTTGGTGGCAGAACTAGGACTCAAACCAAGGCCAGTTTTCTTCCTACTGCCAGCAGATCAAGAAAGGGCAGGAAGGGCACTCGGAAGTGAATTAATATAGGGTACATGGCCTGGTATTGGAAGGAAAGGGGAATAAAAGTGAGGAATGACAAAATACAAGTGAGGGGCTCAGGAAAAGAAAGAACATGGAGATCTGCAGGCAAAGGGCTGTTCCAGGGGTTTCCTGGCTGAGTGCTCTGGGCAGCATTTCTTTGCTCCTTCAACCCTGAGAGACAACTAGGAAACATGCACAGGGCCAGCCAGGTCATCCACTAGCCCTTCCTCCCCAGAGACATTTACGGGGTGTCTAATCTGTGCTAGGCGATGTGCTAGTGCCCCTGGTACAGTAGTGGGTGAGAGGTTCACCCTGCCCTGGGGGAGCTCACAATCTGGGGGCCTGACAGAGTCCTGTGTGTCAGGGGCTACTGTCAAATACAGTCTCCAGGTGAGACTTCCTGGAACATGGTTCCTGAATGGTCTCAGGTGGTCAGGGAAGTCTTCCAGGAGGAAGCAGACTACTAAGCCGACTTGAACCACAAGGAGGACTAGATAGGAAAAGAAGGGGAGGAAAAGCATTCCAAGTATAAAGACAGCACACGCAAAAGCCCAGGAGGCAAACAGCCTGGCACATTTGAGGATTTATAGGTCATTTCACTAAGCTCAAGGGAGAGTGAGGTGGGAGCCAGATGGGACAGATGAAGTAAGCAGGGGCCGGGCATGGGAAGACCAACATGTGTGACACGTTTTGAGTTTTGTAGTTTATTCAGAGAACGATGGTCATGCAGGGGTGAACAAGAGGTTTTTAAGCAGAGTTGTGCTGGAGTCCTATCCCTCTGCCGAAGGGGTAAATTGGAGAGTGAGGCTGGAGATAAGAGGCTGAGAGTAAGAGTCTGTAGAGTGATAAGTGAAGACACTGATGATGCTCCAAGGGGCACCAGCATTTAAGTTTTGGGTAGAGAGAGAACCCCAAGAATGGGACAGAAAGAATCAGCAGAGGGAACAGGAACACTGGCTGCATATGGCCTCCTGGAAATCAGAGGAACAAAGCATTTTAACCAGAACAAGATCACTTGTGAAATGTCTGCTGAGGATTGAAAAGTCTGTCAGCTTTGGCAGTAAGAATTGATTACCTTGACAAGAGTAGTTTTAGGGGAGTGTTGAAGGAGGAGGCCCAACTAAAATATAATGAAAGGGAGCCCATGTTTTATTAGCGGGCAGGTGCCCAGGAGAGAAGGAAACACCTGGGAGCTTGCTCATCCTTTCTGGTAAAGAGCTGGGCCCAGCTTGGGTCCTGGTTTTAGATGTGTGTTTTTTGTGATCCCAAGACTCTTCTGTGTGATGTGACTAAATTATGTTTATCAGATCCCTGTCATGCATTTCTGTTTTCTCCTATTGGTTGAGATTGTGAGAAACTTTATTTGTTTTCACAATTGTGTTTCCTCTCACTGTGGCCCAGTTGCTGAGGAAGAACTAGTCCCATCTCTTTCTGCCTCACGAGGGTTAGCACTGGAATGCCCTTTCTTGCGCTGCTGTGAGATCTGATGCCTCCTTATCCAGAGCAAGGGCTCTGTGCCCATTTATTCTTTACCCAGCTCCCTTTTTGAAAAGCTCTTGCAGCTGACTTCTTGGGAGCTTTCTAAGCCAGAGTCTGTACACTCCATGGGCATAAACCCACAGGGCCCCAGTCAAGTAATGAGTGAAGCCAGATGGTGGTCTAGGTGGTCCTGCTTGGAGCCCTAAAGTTAGGTCAGATTTGGGTCCAGAGCAGCCCAGGAGAAGTAAGTTTACTTCATCCTTGGGAGCCCCTAAATCTAGGCTGGGACCAAACCTGGGATTCAGGTCTTTATAGGGTGTGGGGACTCACCAGGTGTAACCTGGGCCCCCACATGCACCACTGGCCTCACTTGGGGACAACCCTTTTGTAATGACTCTTGATTAAATTGCCACTAATTCCGGACCTCCTGGTGACTGGAGAGTTTACCTGTGGGTACCCTATGGCAGCATTCCATGCAGGGAGTATTGGCTTCAGACTGGCGATCACCTCTCTTGGATGTTGGGTGGAGACTTCCAGGTTGCTGTAACAATGCTGAGCATTTCTCTCCATGTCTTGGAGAGGGATGACTTGGAGTTCCTCTTCTGCCTGTGCAGTTCCTACCATCAATGTGGAATATTCTTGAATAATCTTAACTATTTTGAGGTTAAGGGCACCTGGGTAGCTCTGGTGCCTATCCTGGCTCCACTGGGAGTGCTAGTGGCCATTGGGATGCTCCCTAGAAGTGTGAGGCCCAGGCCTGGCCCCAAGGAGCTAAGAGGGTAAAGGGATCAGCCACTCACGGGGCCATGGCCCATTGCCTTCAGGAGGATCTTGCAGCCCTCATCTCTGACCTGAAGCAGGAGCAAAAGAAGGTGGATGAACATATCGCCAAGCTAGTGAACAACAGGACCCGGATTGTCGTGAGTGCCCTTTCCCTCTGCCCCTATGCTGGGACCAGCCACCTCCCTGCTCCTACAGAGCCCAATTCTGATTTGTCCTTCACGGGAATGCATGCCTTCCATTACAGCCTGCATTCAAAGCATTCCAGGGCAGGGTGGGGAAGGTGGAAATCTCAGGGGAATTCAACCCAGTTGTCAGGACTGTCTCTAAATTGGCTTGTGTCCCTATGTCCTTGGGCCTGAGATAAGCCAGAACCTAAGTCCCAGAGGTAAACAGCCCAAAGTGTTGACATGACTTGCCAGCCCCCTGCCTCCTGTGCCTGCTTGACCTTGACAGCCTGTGTAGTGCCGGCTCAGTACCTGCCGCGCAGGCGTGGGAAGGCCTGAAGCTTCCCTTAGCTGTCTACTTTTCCTCAGTGAGAGGCACACTGGGGCTGGGAGATGTGGAGCCCAGCCCTGCAGGTGATTGTGAAATGGCAGCAGTGTCCCCAGAGTACCCCTCACCCTTGACAGGGAGGCAGCATTATCTCGCTCAATGGAGATAGAACTCGGGGTCACACGGGAAGCCTGGCTATCTCACTCCAAAGCCTGCTCTCCTGTGGCCTTTCAGACTTTTTTCAGCTGTGAAACCTTGTGATAAAGCAAAAATCTGACTTGCACACTTAATAGTTAAGACAAGTTGAAAGCAGAGCCATTGCTTTGAAGTGGGAACTGGAGGCCCAGCCTCTGCCCTGCTACTGTTGCCCACTCCATGGTCCCCTATGGGACCTCCTGGCACAGTGTGAACACCTGGGCAGGACTCAGCCCTGGGACTTAGGTACCAGGACCAGCCCCTTCAGGAAGGCCCAAGTGCCCGGCTCTGGAGGCATGGAGGTCAGTCATCACCACTCCGATGCGGCTCCTGACATGACAGGCCCTCGCTGTCCTAGAACGAGTCCGATGTCTTCAGCTGGGTGATCCGCCGTGAGTTCCAGGAGCTGCACCACCTAGTGGATGAGGAGAAGGCCCGCTGCCTGCAAGGGGTTGAAGGTCACACCCGAGGTCTCGTGGCCTCGCTGGACATGCAGCTGGAGCAGGCCCAGGGCACGCGGGAGCGGCTGGTCCAAGCCAAGTGTTTGCTGGAGCAGTTTGGTAACGAGAGTCACCACGAGTTCATCCAGGTGAGTGGACAAGGGAGTGTCCCCCATGTTGAGGCCCTCGGGGCCTCTAGAGCCTGTCGCTGCTAATGGCTTTTGCATAGCCTCTGCCACACTCTAACCTACCTCTCTCTTGTCTTTCAGAAGTACCACTCCATGGCCTCCAGGTAATAACCTGGGAGGGAGCTCTCAGCATCAGTCTGGTGGCTGTGGCCACAGGCATCTCTTCTCTACTAGTTCCTCCTGTCATTTTCGCCAGTGCCTCAGGAGCAGCTGCCCACATCTGGCTCTGTACTGGGGCCAGGGAAAACAGATGAAGTCATGTCCCTGCCTTCAGGGATTTTGCAGACGGGTGGGAGGTGGACAGTGAACTATGGTTACATCAGTGTGGGTATCTAAAACAATAGAAACTACAGAAATAACAGAGGAGGAGGTGATGGGATCCATGTTCTAGTCCCAACAAGTGAACAATCCATGCAGTTCCTGAGCCTTCCTCAGACCCTGTTTATAAGTCTCCTTGTTGTCTCAAATTTTCTTTTTTATTCAACATTTATTTACTTATTATTATTATTTTAAAATATATCTTTATTGATTTCAGAGAGAGGAAGGAAGAGGGAGAGAGCTGAAATATCAATGATGAGAGAGTCATTGATCGGCTGCCTCCAGCACATCCCCAACTGGGGACCGAGCCCCCAACGCGGGCATGTGCCCTGACCGGGAACCGAACCACGATCTCCTGGATCCTAGGTCAATGCTCAACCGCTGAGCCATGCCCAGCCAGGCTATTTACTTATTGATTTTGAGAGAGAGAGAGACAGACAGAGAGAGAGAGAACATTGATTTGTTGTTCCACTTATTTATACATTTATTGGTTGATTCTTGTGTGTGCCCTGACCAGGGATCAAACCCCCAACCTTGGCATATCGGGATGAGCTACTTGGCCAGGGCCTCAAGTTTTATTTAGTTTCAGGGACAATTCGATTGGGAGCATTGGTTTAAATGAATGGACAGAGAATCTGATTGGCTCTGTACCAGGGTCACCCAGTTCAGAGAAGTGGTCCTGAAATGTTAGCATGCCCCGGAATCACCTGGAGGGCTCATTAACACACCAACACTGGGCCTGAATAATCAGTTTCTGATTGAGCAGGTCCGGGGTGGGACCCAAGAAAATCTGCATTTCTAACAAGCTACCGGTCTAGGACATACACTTTGAGGACCACTGATGTAGAGTATTTCCCCTTCCAGGAAGGAGGCAGGTCTTCCGAGAGGGAGGCGGAGGGGAGGAAATGATGGGCATCCTGAGTGCACAGTCTGCTGAGCTGTGGATTGTCTGATGGGACTTGCCTATGGGTGGGGTGTACTGTACGAGCTCCGCCATCACTGCACACTGTTGCCTCCAGAGCAGAGCTCCAGCAGCCCCGACCTTTGGAAAGCACGTTCAGCCCCATCTCCTTCAAGCCAGGCCTCCACCAGGCTGACATCAAGCTGGCTGTATGGAAAAGGCTCTTCCGCAAGGTTCTGCCAGGTGAGGCCCCAGTCCATCCTCACTCCTGAGGGCTTCGGTACAAAGTGCAGAAGCTGGAAGGGAGGCTTGCATAGGCTGGTGGGGAGAGCACAGGAATGGGGTCCACCAAAGAGCTTGGGTCAAGCACAGCTCCATGTTCTACTAACTGGGGCAAGTTGTATAATTTCTGAGCCCCTGTTTCTTCATCTGTAAAGGGAAGCTCTTAATGCCCTCCTTTCCAGGTTGCATATTTATAAATATGTGTGTGTGCGTGTAGTTTAGTGCTTAATAAATGTAGCTGTTGCTCTGTCAAAAAATACTCAAAGACATCTAATTAACTCCTTTATTATTGGCATATAAGGAAGATCAATCAATAGACTGATTTCATCCAACAAAGACAAAAACAGGGTTTATATAATATAAAAGGGGGAGAGAAAAAAACCACATTCTCTGAACTGTGAATGTTGTTTGCACATTTTTATATAAACTGATTAGCTGGCAGCTAGCAAAGAGGTCATTTGAGAGTTTGTCCTTGAATAGGTTGCTAGAGTATCAAAGAAAACAACTGCAGTTGTTATGGATTCTCCAGAAAACCTGGGAGTTTAGCTGTGAAGCACACATGACAGGCTGTCTTCCTGGTCCTTCCATCAGCACCTTGGCCTTAGGCAGGCCTGCACCATGTATGTCCCTTACCAGAAGGCCTTGGCTCTCAGCTGTTTATTTTTTCCACCCTTCAGACATCATTCAGCCAACATCCTAAGGGTGCCTACTCTGTGCCTGGTCCCTTCTAGGCCCTGAAGATACAGAGATGAGGCCTGTGCAGTTCCACTTCTGAGGAGCTCAGGGCCTCCAATAAGCTTCCCTTGGGGCAAGGTCTGCTGCCTTTTGTGTGGGTTAAAAACAAGCCTTCTTTGATCTTTCCTAGCCCCAGAATCTCTTAAGCTGGATCCTGCCACAGCCCACCCTCTTCTGGAGCTCTCCAAGGGCAACACAGTGGTGCAGTGTGGGCTCCTGGCCCAGCGATGCCCTAGCCAGCCTGAGCGCTTCGACTATAGTACCTGTGTCCTGGCCAGCCGGGGATTCTCCTGTGGCCGCCACTACTGGGAGGTGGTGGTGGGCAGCAAGAGCGACTGGCGCCTGGGAGTCATCAAGGGCACAGCTAGTCGCAAGGGCAAGCTGAGCAAGTCCCCTGAGCATGGCATGTGGCTCATTGGCCTGAAGGAGGGCCGGGTGTATGAGGCCTTTGGCTGCCCGAGGGTGCCCTTGCCCGTGGCTGGACACCCCCACCGCATTGGCGTCTATTTGCATTATGAGCAGGGAGAGCTCACCTTCTTTGATGCTGACCGCCCGGATGACCTGCGGCCACTCTACACATTCCAGGCTGACTTCCAGGGCAAGCTCTACCCCATCCTGGACACATGCTGGCATGAAAGGGGCAGCAACTCACTGCCCATGGTGCTGCCCCCGCCCAGCGGGCCTAGCCACCTCACCCCTCCACAGCCCACCAAGTCGTAGGGGTGCTCAGAGGCCATTCCCACTAATGCACAGGGACTCAAGGGGTTCTGTTGGGTCCAGCAAGCAAAGATTATGTCTTTACCATTTGGGAAGGTCTTCATGCCTGTGTGACCCTAGAAAGATGTAGTAATAAGGAGAAAAGGACCACAGGCCCTTCTCCAGCAGCCAAGGGTATATTTATTTACTCACTGTCATGTCACTAACCTGCTTCTTAACCAGCAGACCTGGGTCTTGGTGTCCATGGGCTTCCCTTGGTCCCTCCAACCACGCTTTTGCTTACTCTTCCAACTGAGGGTGGAAACATTCCCATACAAACTTTTTCATTATCATTGTGAACTTAAAATAACTTTAAGGACAATAAATTTGACATTATTTCTTTCTCTTTATTTTTTAAATTTAAATTTTAATTAATTTTATTTATTATATTTTTATTTTTAATGTTGGCACAATTGCAGGTATCCCCCTTTTACCCGCCCTTTACCCACCCGTGCCTCCCCCTCCCTATTTCTTTCTCTTTAAATGATTTGCAAATATTAATCGCTGTACAGAACTGCTTCATGCTCAGATCTCCAACTGCTGGTGGGGCCAGAGCTTGCTTCCACCCACTGCCCATTGGTCTGTGGTTACAATCACATCAACTATTCCATCACTGCTCTTTTGTTAAAGACCTCTCTTGACTTCCCTCTCCATGAGATGAGATGGAAATGACACTACTTTAAAGCAGAAGCAAGTAAGGATCGAGCTTCCATGTACATGGATGGAGGCCCAGAGCCCAGGTCTGTTCATGGTGAGCCTGCCCCTGGCCACAGCTGATGGTGTCCACCCCAGACTAGGTCTGGGACAGCTGAATTCTCTCCTAAAAATCTGAAAACTGGAAGAGAGAGAATGGTTGGGGGCCCAGTCACCTAAGACCTGGTGCTTTAGAGAACTCCTCAGACTTATGCAACTGAAGTCTGTGAAGCCACCTGAGGTCCTTCCATGGGAAAGAGTTCCACTATGGTGCCCTGGCACATATCCACATAGGCCGCATGGGCAAAGGCTTGACTGACAGTCTGAGTAACCCTCCAGGAACAGGAGAGGATGGGGGCTTGTGAGGTGCTAACTCAAGGCCATGTCCACTCACCTCCTTATCCCATGGGAGACAGTCAGGAGAGACATCACTTCCTAGGCCCTGGTGAAGAATGAGGCTTTTGACTCCATCTCCCTCCAAGTAGAGTTGCAGACTATAAAACAGCCTGGTTGCATCTAGAACTGGCTCCTCAGCGATGGCATATCCCACAACTCATGTTGTAGTCATCAGCTCTTTGATTTCCATATCATTTTTTTGTGTGTGTGCCCAACAAGGGTCATGTGGAGCTGGCACTTTTGGCTAATCTTCCATCTGTTGTCTATGAAAGTAATAAACTGTGCTTGTATCTTACTACCTGAATCTGCCACACCTTGGTCTTCGTTGCTGTGTGCTTGACACCTTTCAGACCTGATTTTTGGTTATGCAGCAATTCCTTCAGTCCCAGGACTGGGCTGAAGAGTGTCACCCCTCTATATCCACTCTCCACCCTTCTTCATCCTGCTCTGTGTCCTGGGAGGCTGGAACACAAAACTCTTTGGCTTCCTGTTGAGGTCAGCTGATGGGAGGGACTGGCAGGAGATCCAAGGGCAGGAGAGGGAGTTTGAGGTATTTATTTTCCTGTTTTCCTGCCTGCTGGGCTATGGGTTGGCAGCTGCCCTCTACTTAAGACTCCTGGCAGGTGGCCCCCTCCTTCTGTTACTCTCCTCTTGTTCCTCAGGCCTGGTGGTGAATAGTGCTGCTGCTAGCCCAGAGTACTACACCATCCCCTGTAAGGTCACTTAACTCTGACCAGCCCCTTCATTAAAAGATCCTGAACTACTCTTTTGTGTGCACCTTTCTTCCTCTGCACTGACCGACACAACAGCATACTTCTGTACCCATTTAATAAATTCTGTTTGGCTAGCCAGTTAGCATTTGCAACCAAAAGATATTTTTCTTTTCAATTAAAAATTTTTTTAAATCAAGTACATTATCTTATGTAACCACAAGGCAAATGTGTCAAAATCAGGAAATTAACATTGATAAAACACTGTTATCCAACCCACAGACATTCAGATGTCACCCATTGTCCTATTTGTTCTTCATAGTAAGACTATCTCAGGTCCAGGATGCAATCTAAGATCACCTGTTACATTTCAGTTGTCATATCTCTTTAGCTTTCCTTCATCTGGATCAGTTTTAGTCTTTCTCCTCTCAACTTTGACATTTTGAAGAGATAGGACCAGTTATTTTGTAGAATGTCCCTCGATTTGGGTTTGTCCCACACTTCATTAGATTCAGGTTACACTTAAATGACAGGAATACAGCAGAAGTGATGCTATGCTCTTCTCATTGATCCTACCAGGTGGCAGGAGATTGTCACTTGTTTGCATATTGGCGATGTTAACTTTGATCACCAAGTCCTGGACATGTCCTCCACGTTTCTCTATTGTAAAGTTATTATTGCCCCCTTTGTTTTATTTATTTTTATGTTTGTTTTTTTTTTAATATATCTTTACCGATTTCAGAGAGAGGGAAGGAGAGGGAGAGAGAGAGATAGAAACATCAATGATGAGAGAGTCATTGATCGGCCACCTCCTGCACGTCCCCGACTGGGGATTGAGCCCGCAACCCGGGCATGTGCCCTGACCGGGAATCGAACCCCGATCGCCTGGATCCTAGGTCGACGCTCAACCGCTGAGCCATCCCTGGCTGGACGCCCCCTTTGTTTTAAATAACTAACCTGTGGGGAGATTATTTGAAGTTATGTAAATATCCTGTTCTTATAGTAATTGATGGCTCTTGCCTGAAACCAATTACTATAATGATTGCCAGACAGTGATTTTTAAACTCAGTCATTCCTTTTGCACTTATTACTTAACATTTTACTGTAAAGGCCTTTCCTTTTCCCTTATTTATTTACTTCTGTCAATATGGATCCATGGATTCTGATTTTATTTGATGGGTTGTAATCCATTGCTGTCATTACTTATTTTGATGCCGATTGTCCCAGATTTGGCCAGTGGGAGCTCCTTCAAGGTGGCTTCTGCACCTGTCATTCTTTGGGCACATTCTTACTTCTCATACAAGATGGTCCAGGCTCTCTCTCCCAGCCCCAGCCCTGGACTCAGCCATTTTGCTGAGGATCCCTGATTCTTTTCAGTGGGGAGTGATATTAGAACCCAAGATCTGGAAGTTAGGTGTGCTCATTGCCACAGAGGTGTCATTGCTTATGTCCTTCCAGTGGACAGAATGGAAAAAATAGCCATTTCATATCATTCTTGCCTTTCACCATTTTATATTTGTAGCTCCTTTCTCACTGTGAGAAGCCTGTCTCCCAATAACATGCATATATTTACTACTTTGCTCAATTCTACACTACACACAAACTTGTTTCAGAATTACTACCTATCATTTTACTTTTTACCCAATCTCAGAGGTTTCCCTGCCTTTTTTTTTTTTTTTAAATATATCTTTATTGATTTCAGAGAGGAAGGGAGAAAAGATAGAAACATCAATGATGAGAGAGTCATTGATTGGCTGCCCCCCACTGGGGATCGAGCCCGCAACCCGGGCATGTGCCCTGACCAGGAATCGAACCTCCATCTTCTGGATCCTAGGCCAATGCTCAGCTGCTGAGCCACGCCCTGCCGGGCGGTTTCCCCGCTTTGATTTCTCCTGCCTCCCTAATCTATCACCAATGGATTTCATGTAACCCACTTATGTCTCCTCTTTTGATTGTGATGCATAAAATAAGGTGAAAACGGCCATTCTCCAGAGCATTTTCTCAATCCGTGAAGACTTTGCTTCCAGGCAATTATCAGTTTGGCTCAAATAAACTCACAAAAATTCTCTACAGGTTTGAATGATCTTACATTGATAGCATATAATGTTAATATATAAAGGGCACTAAGAGAAAGAAGGCATAAGAGTGAGCGAAAGACATTAACACGTTATAACAGAAGAAACACAAATTACCAGTAAACATGAAGATATTCAACCTCAATAACATATCAAATTAAAACAACAGTAAAACCCTACTGTTTGCTTATCAGATCAGCAAAAATGGAAAGAAAAAAGTTAAGATGTAACAAGAAGTGGAGCAGTGCGCTCCCACAGCCTGCTTCCCGAATCTAACACGTGTAAACCGACATCCGCCTTGGGAGACCCGGTTGGCACTGGGGCTTCCGGGTCCACACCTCTGTGCCCTTTAACTCCGGAAGTCTGGGCTGGCGGCGGCGCAAAGCCCGGTGAACGTCGCGACAGAGCCGTAAAGGCGCGCGGGAGTGGTGCATGGCGCTGTACGCGGCGGCAGCGGCCGTGCTGGCTGGCGTTGAGAGCCGCCAGGGCTCGATCAAGGGGCTGGTGTACGCTAGCAGTTTCCAGGTAGCGGGGTTTGGGTTCCCGCCGGCTGGGGAAGGGGCCTAGCCTGGGCCCCGCCTCAGCTTGTGTCTCTTTGGCCTCGCGCAGAACGTGAAGCAGCTGTACGCGCTGGTGTGCGAGACGCAACGCTACTCGGCCGTGCTGGACGCCGTCATCTCCAGCGCCGGCCTCCTCCGCGCGGAGAAGAAGCTGCGACCTCACCTGGCTAAGGTGACCGGCGGGGTGGGGTGGGCCGGCCAGTGAGTCCTCCTAACCTGGTCCCAGCTCTGTAGCGCCCACGTTGTGACTCGATTAAGTCGTTCCTCTGAAATGAGGATGCGCAGCCCCCCTCTGAGTTACGAATTGAGGTGGGATGAAAATGCTTTAATTTCGAGCTTTGTGTGAAAGATTAAATAACGAAAGTACAAAGTAGGAATGGTAGGGACCCTTTAGGTAAAACAAAAGGGTGATGTTGCTGAGAAGGAGGATTCAGCCATTTAGAAAGGGTTCGGGGCTGGAGAAGCAAAATATCAGGTTCGAATCCTATATCTGCCATTAATTTTGTGTCACCTTGGACAAGGTACCTCACTTTTACCTGTTACTGTGTGGACAGGTGGTTTGTTCAGCCTTTCCAGTTACAACACTATGGAGTTGGAAGGCATTAATGCCTAGGTTTTTTTATCTCTTGGTCTCTCCATCTCCAGGTGTTAGTGTATGAGTTGTTGCTGGGAAGAGGCTTTAGAGGGGGAGGAGGCAAATGGAAACCTCTGCTGAACCGGCACCAGGCAAGGCTGAAGGCTGAGTTAGCCCGGCTGAAGGTTCATCGAGGTGTGAGCAGGAATGAAGACTTGTTGGAAGTGGGATGTGTGCCTGGCCCAGGTGAGCTGAGTTGTGGGAGAGGAGGTTAGCCATCAGGCCCTTAAAGGAGGGCTGTGTTCCTGCCCACTGACTGCTGATTGCTTCCTAGCCTCCCAGGTGCCTCGATTTGTGCGGGTGAACACTCTCAAGACCTGCTCTGATGATGCAATCGATTATTTCAAGAGACAAGGTTTCTCCTACCAGGGTCGGGCTTCCAGGTGAGCATACAACCCGGACCGGCTGCCCTAATCTAGGGAGGTGCCTGGGGGCACTGGGGATGTGAATGGGAAGGGAGAGGCAAAGTGGTTGTGACAGTATTTGGGGTTTCTTTCTATTTTTACAGCAGTTTCTCCATCCCCTTCCAAGGCCTGTCTTCCTCTATCCTTAAATATTGATTGTTTTAGCAGTCCCATTGACATTCTTCTAATATATCTATCCCTCAATTTCTTCTCTAGCTCTAACTCCTATTTCTCACCTGATGATTCTTGTTTCCCAGTCTAGACTTCTCTCTTGTATTCATACCCTCAAGTTCATGTCAGTGCTTCACAGACACCACAATCGCAGCATGTGTCAAACTAAATTCATCCATCCTCTGAACTTTGCACCTTTTGTTGTTGTTGTTCAGTCATGTTTATTCAAAATTCAAGATTTAAAAGTAATTCTTCCAAAAAATATGCTTAAACAGGTTATTGGATTATTTTGCAGTATTCCTTTTTCAAATTGAGGTATAATTGACATAACATTATGTTAGTTTCAGGGGTACAGTGAAATGATTAGATATTTGTATATATGGCAAAATACTACAATACGTGTAGTTAACATACACCACTATATGGCTACAAACAATTTTTTTCTTGTAAAGAGAACTTTTAAGATTTATTCTCTTAGCAACTTTTGAATATGCAATACAGTATTATTAACTGTAGTCACCATGCTGTACATTACATTTTTAAACAAAATATGTCTTTATTGATTTTTAGAGAGAGGAAGGGAGAGGGAGAGGGAGATAGAAGCATCAATGATGAGAGAGTCATTGATTGTCTGCCTCCTGCACACCCCATACTGCGGATCAATCCCGCAGCCCGGGCATGTGCCCTGACCAGGACTCAAACCACAATCTCTTGGATCATAGGTTGATGCTCAACCTCTGAGCCATGCCAGCCGGGCTGGACATTACATTCTCATGACTTATTTAATAATTGGAAGTTTGTACCTTTTGACTCCCTTCACCCATTTTGCTCCCCCCCAGATGTGTTCTTTGTATCTGTGAGCTTTGTATCTATCATCTCAGATGATAAGATATTTGTCTTTTTCTCTCTGACTTTGCCCTTAAGGTCCACCCATCTTGTCAAAAAATGGCAAAATTTCAACTTACACAAAAAAAAAAAAAAGAGAAAAAGAAAATGGCAAGATTTCTTTTTTTTCTTCATCCTCACCCGAGGATATTTTTTTCATTGATTTTCAGAGACAGTGGAAGGGGGCAGGGGTAGGGGGGAGGAGAAATATCCATGTGAGAGAGACGCATCAATTGGTTACCTCCCGAATGAGCCCTGATGGGCAGGGATGGAACCTTTTGGTCTTGGGGCCAATGCTCTAACCACTGAGCAAAACCGGCCAGGGCAGATTTCACTATTCTTTATGACTGAATAATATTTCATTGTGTGTCACATTTTTTTTTTTTTAATTCACTCATTGATGGGCACATGGTTGTTTCCATGTCTTGGCCATTGTATATAATTCTGCATTGAACATGGGGGTGCAGATATCTTTTCAAATTAGTGCTTTCCTTTAGGTAAATACTCAAAAGTGAAATTGCTGGATCATATGGTAGTTTTGTTTTTAAATTTTTGAGGAAATTCTGTACTGTTTCCCATTTGGAATTTACTTTCCCACCAATGGTGCACAAGGGTTCTTTCCCCCACATCCTTGCCAATACTTGTTATTTCTTGTGTTTTTGATAATACCCATTCTAGCAGGTGTGAGGTGATATTTCATTGTGGTTTTGATTTTCGTTTCCTGATGATTAATGTTGGGGCTATTTTCATGTACCTGTTGGCCATCTGTGTCTTCTTTGGAATAATGTCTATTCTGTGCCCACTTTTTAATTGGATTATTTGCTGCTGTTTGCTACTGAGTTTTATGAATTCTTTATATATTTTGGATATTAACCCCTTATATATGATTTGCACATATTTTCTATCATTCATTAGGCTACATCTTCATTTTGTTGATGGTTTCCTTTGCTGTGCAGAAGCTTTTTAGTTTGATATGGGCCTACTTGTTTATTTTTCCTTTTGGTGACAAATCCAAAAAGTCATTACCAAGACTGATGTCAAGGAGCTTACTGCCTCTGTTTTATTCTAGGAGTCTTATGGTTTCTGGTCTTACATTCAAGTCTTTAACCCATTTTGAGTTGATTGTTGTATATGGTATAAGGGAGTGGTCCTGTTTCATTCTTTTGCCTGTGGCTGTCCAGTTTTCCCAACACCATTTATTGAAAAGACTGTCCTTTCCCCATTGTATATTCTTGGCTCCTTTGTCATAAATTGATCATATATGTGTGGGTTTATTTCTGGGCTCTCTGTACTGTTTCATTGATCTATGTGTCAGTTTTTATTGCAATACCATACTGTTTTACTATAGCCCTGTAATACGTGAAATCAGGGAGCATGATGCCTCCAGCTTTGTTCTTTCTGAAGGTTGCTTTGGCTATTTGGGTCTTTTGGGGTTCCATACAAACTTTAGGATTATTTGTTCTATTTCTGTGAAAAATGCCACTAGAATTTTGATGGGGATTCCATCGAATGTGTTGATTGCTTTGGGTAATATGGACATTGTAACAATATTCTTCCAACCCATGAGCATGGAATATCTTTCCATTTATTTGTGTCTTCAATTTCTTTCATTAATATCTTAAATAGTTTTCAGTGTACAGGTCTTTTACTTCCTTGGTTAAATTTATTCTGAGGTATTTTATTCTTTTTGATGCAATTGTAAATGGGATTGTTTTAAAACTTCTGATGATTAGTGTATTGAAAAGCACATATTTTTGTGTGTGGATTTTTTTTTATCCTGCAACTTTACTGATTTTGTTTACTAATTCTAAAAGTTTTTTGGTGGAGTCTTGAGTTTTCTATATATATGTCATTTGCAAATAATGACAGTTTTACTTTTTCTTTTCCAATTTAGATGCCTTTATTTCTTTTCTTGCCTAATTGCTGTAGCTAGGACTTCAGTACTGTGTTGAATAAAAGTGGCCTTGTCTTGTTCCTGATCTTAGAGGAAAAGCTTTCAGCTTTTCACCATTGAATTTGATATTAGCTCTGGGTTTGTCCTATATGGCCTTTATTATGTTGAGGTAAGTTTCTTCTATACCAACTTTGTTTAGAGTTTTTGTCATAAATGGATGTTTGTCAAATGCTTCTGCTGCACCTATTGTTATTTTTATCCTTTATTTTGTTAATGTGATGTATCACATTGATTAATTTGAACTATCCTTGCATTCCTGAACTTTGCAACTTCTGCATTCCCTATTTTAACCTAACAGATATAATTATGCATCTGTTTGGTCAAACCAGAAACAATCATCCTAGATGCTTGCCTCCTTTCCCTCCAGTCATTCACTACTTTGCCTTCAGCATCTTTCTCAAATCTCTTCCTTCCTTTTTGTCCTGGACATTACCTGGGTTTGGCACTCATCGTAATTTGGTTGGCTGCAGAAAGATCTGAAACCATTCCAAAGCGTTACTCCCCTGTTGGAAACCCTCTCTTGGTTCTCCATTGTGCTATGCCCCCTGCTTCCTCTCCAGGCCCATCTGCCGTGGCACTCTGTACACCTGTTCTTCTCACAGCAGTTGCTGCTCTCGGCTCTGATGCTTTCCCACCTCTCCCCTGGACTCATTCCTTCCTCCTCTTCTGTCCTTTGACAGCTCTGGGAAGCTGTCCTTGCCCCTCCCCCCACATGTTTTGGGTGTTCCTCCTCCTGCCTGGAGCTTGTTGCTTAGAGACCAGGGAAGTAGAGAAGAGAATGGCTGTGTACGGGTTTGAATTCCAGCTCTGCTGCTTGATGGCTTTATGAACTGAGACACTGTTCTCTAGGCCTGTTTCTATGTGGGTCAGGTAGAGTAGACAATGCCCCTTTACAGAGTTTAGTGAATGTAGTTTTCATCTCAGCTCCTCACATTACTCACTCACTCATTAGGAGTCAGCTCAATTCTTTTCTCCCTTCCACCCGCCCTTCACCATCCAATTCCCCCCAAAGTAGCCTCTCCTTGAGGTCTAACATTTATTGAGTGCCTAATTTGTGCCATGTGTTTTCCTAAGTATTTTGCATGTATTGACTCATTTAATCCTCACAGCTACCATTTTCCAGAAGTGCAGAGAGGCTGAGATAAAGCACTTGTTCATGTTCCCACCACTGGCAAAGAGCTGAGGTGGATCCTGAAACAAGTGTCTGGTCTGAGAACCCAGACTGTCTTAGCACCCTGTTTATTTCTTCATAGCAGTCTTGAACATTTATTGCAGGAATGGTTAACATGTGAGGTAACGTGTAAAATGCCCAGCCTGGTGCCTGGCATGGAACAATTCAGAAAATGTTGATTGAATGGTTCTTGTTCCCTGACAGCATCGAGGACCTAAGGGCCCTCAAAGGGAAGTGTTTTCTTCTGGATCCCTTGTTGCCAGAATTGCTTGTGTTTCCTGCCCAAACGGATCTGCATGAACATCCGCTTTATCATGCTGGTCACCTCATCTTACAAGACAAGGTAGGGAAGGTGGGTGGAAAAGGGAAGAATGTGTGGGAGTGACCAGCTTGGAGTCTCTGTTCACCCAGCCACTATGCTCTTCCCTGCCAGGCTAGCTGTCTCCCAGCCATGCTGCTGGCTCCGCCCCCGGGTTCCCATGTCATTGATGCGTGTGCTGCCCCAGGCAATAAGACCAGTCACTTGGCTGCTCTTCTGAAGAACCAAGGGTGAGTGCCGTGGTCAGACAGAAGGGAATGGAGTCTGATCCTGTAGCTGGTGAGAAGAAATAAGGAACTTGTTTTTCCAATAGGTCTGAAGGCTGAAAGATTTTCCTTTAAATATTTCCTTCTGGACCTAGGGCAGTTCCTGGTATAGCCCCAAGATAAACTTCCCAGGGGGTTGCAGGTGTGAGATGTGAATTCCTTAGTCCTTGCACGCCATTTAAATGTTAACTTCTATGTGTCCTGACTTACTGTGCATGTTTGTATGAGAGTTGTGGTCTGTTAGATGCTGTATAAACTGTTAACCTCAACTTTGCCTTTTTCTGTAGGAAGATCTTTGCCTTTGACCTGGATGCCAAGCGGTTGGCGTCTATGGCTACTCTGCTGGCCCGGGCTGGAGTCTCTTGCTGCCAGCTAGCCGAAGAGGACTTCCTGGCAGTTTCACCCTCAGACCAGCGTTATCGTCAGGTCCAGTACATTTTGCTGGATCCTTCTTGTAGTGGCTCTGGTGAGATGGGGAGAAATCATGGCCTAGGGACCCACGTTCAGAGCAGCCTTAGAGCAGAAAGGGTAGCAGCTCATTTGGGTCTTGGGTTTATAGTTTAGTTGTGATCCAAATTGTGTTGTGACCGTGGGCAAATGTTCTCATTTATAAAGTGGGAATTTCAGTATGAAATAAGCAGTCTGTAATTAATGCACTCTTTCCCCTAGGTATGCTGACCAGACAGCTGGAGGAGCCTGGGACAGGTATACCTAGCAAGGAACGCCTGCGTGCCCTGGCAGGGTTCCAGCAGCGAGCTCTGTGCCATGCACTCACTTTCCCGTCCCTGCAGCGCCTGGTCTACTCCACGTGTTCCCTTTGTCAAGAGGAGAATGAAGATGTTGTACAGGAGGCCCTGCGGCAAAGTTCAGGAACCTTCAGGTAGTGGGTTTCCAGCAGGGTTTTGGGGAGGGAGAATGCTCTTTTACCTAGAAGTTTGTGCTATTTCTTCTCCACAGGCTAGCTCCTGTCCTACCCTCCTGGCCCCACCGAGGCCTTAACACTTTTCTAGGGGCGGAACACTGCCTCCGGGCCTCCCCTGAGACCACGCTCACTGGTGGCTTCTTCATTGCTGTACTTGAACGGGTAGAGGTGCAAAGGTGAGAGCATGAGGCCTACTGGGAAGATGCTGGAAGATTGGGACACATCTAACTTATACTTTTCTTCTAGCTCAGTCTCACAGGCCGAAGTATCAGCACCAGAACTGAGGCCCAGCCCAGGTCCAAAGAGAAAGAAGAGGCGGCGAAAAGCAGCAGCTGCTCCTAGCCCGCTACCTTGCACACAGCAGGTGCTCAAAGCTTTTGACTTCTTGGGAGGAAAGGAAGACACTAGTTCTCCCTTCATCTTAGCCCCAGGCAGCAGTTTAGTTTTTGAAAGGTTCTGTTCTTTTCGTTGCTATAGGAAGGAAACTGATAACCGCGTCTCCAGCTGGGAAGATGGAGTGGATTTCCTCATCCTTTTCGAGCCATGTTCTTGCTGGTGAGAGAAGTGCGACCCACAAAAATAAAAGGCAAGACATGGTCTACGATAGATCACAGTTTTTTTTTATTCTTAATGACATAAGCAAGGAGAAAAATCTCACATTCATACTAAAAATTCCAACTAGACTCACAGGAATTAAGTCTTTATTTGTAATGGAAAGTCCCAGCCTCCCGTTCCTGTCCAGTGCACGTACATGTACACATACACACTCACACACTCACACTCAGGCTGTGCCAGGACACCCTCTTCAGGGGATTCCTGGACCAACTGTCCTGCCTGTGGAACTGAGGTAAACTAGCTTAGAGTACTAAAACTAAGAGGGTCTACCTTACGTAAGGTATAGGTAGAAGCTTGATTTCTAGGCCCGTGCCCCACTCCACCCCTCCAATTCTAGTAGGTATTTGGGACTTGAGGTTCAGGCTCCCTCCTCAGCTCCACAGACAGTTAAGTATTAACAGAGCTCTTCTTGGGGGCAGGGAGGAGCAGTCAGTCCCCTGCCACAAAACATTCAACCTCAGTCACAAAAGGGTGAGGAGAGACTAGTTACACCTACATCACATTATTTATAAAATAAGAATTACAGTTTACATAATGTGTCCAGAAGGAGCTCTAGTCCCTCAGGAAAGCTGCCTGGACAGCACTGGAACCTCTTCTTCACACAGGCATAACTTAACTATACAGCTAATTCCTAATCAACAGCATTTATACTTAACCACCTCAGTGAACCAAGCTTGAAGGAATTTAAAAGGCAATTTAGCTTAAATACAAAAATAAATTTTTATTTTGTTAAAAAATGTTTAAATATTTTTTTCTTTTAATTTAGACACACACATTCATACTTCTCCCAAAGAGGATGGGCATGGCAGCAAGGCTGTTAGGCCTGGGGTATGTGGTTTTGAAACAAAGGAAGAAAAGAAGGGTTGGAGGCCCTGCTGGGAGGGGTGGGGGGGATGACAACTAAGAATTTGAAAGTGTGGTTCATTAATTTAGGTTTTCTAACATATACTAGGGGTGATTTAGCCTCCTGTGAGGTCAGATAAGTAGGAGAGAAACAGCAGAGGGAAGAGGTCTTTGCTTCCCCATGGCCCTATCCTCCTGGGCTGCCAGCCCTTAAAGTCAAAACACCATTTGAAAATCCAAGAGTTGGCACTTGTAGCCATAAAGTGGTGCTACTTTCCACATTCAATTAGCTAAGTCCCAGAACCTTGAAACAGTTAAGTCCGGCACTACCAACATGCCGCCACTCATACAATTCAATTCTTCCTCCAAACTCGATTCAAAGAGAAATAGACATGAGCATCAGACAAAGTAACACAGGACAAGGCTTTAAACATACAATCCCGGAGAGGCAGACATGCCCAATGAGGCCAGCGGGGATGGTGGGCAAGGAGGCAGCTGAAAGCAGCGGTGAGCATCCTGTCTGCTCCAAGAGCTTCCCTCCCTGGAGTGAGGGATCACTCCTGGATCTGCCAGGCTAACAGTCTTGAGCCACCAAGCTTTTAGGGGCCAAACTGGCAGAAAGGGTTGGGGACAAAACACTGACTCAGACTTGGCAAGAGGAAGTGAAACAACAGGAGCAGCATCCACTGGGGTCTTCAAGGCAAAGCTTGATTCAGATCATTTAAAGAGCAATAGATCCTGCAAGGAACCAGTTGAGGGACAAAGCAGCAAGAAATGAGGAAACAGTCCCCTAAAGGGACCAGAGAACCACTTTTTATAGCCAAGCCAAGCAAGGTAAAGCTTTAGGGATAATCCATTTCCCCCAATCCCATCAAATGCATACCAGAGAGAGAGAGAGGTGGGCAGGGCTCTATTTGCTACCCTCCAGCAAAGACGGCTCTCGGGGAAAGGCGGGAAGGAAGGCCGCCTGACTAAGCTTATACACAAAACAAGTCAGAGAAGTGGACAATATGTACAGATGTTTCTTTAGTTCTCTCCAGCCTCACCAGTGGAACTGTTCAAGTAAAGGTATCAGGCTTCTGCCCTGCCACATCCTGCCTCCCCCTCCACCAAGAGGTCTGAGGCTTCTGCTTCCTCGAAGGGAAATAGCCCCAGGGCTGCTACCACCTCCCTGGTGGCTGAAGCCAGAGGTCTGGTGTAGGTTTGCTTTATGGAACTAGATGGGTTAGAGGCTCTTCCTAGCAGGTACCAAGGTCCAGATTTGGGCAAGGGGTTGGGGAATGGAGGCAAGGGACAAAGGCTATTTCTTGCGGGTGTGTTGCCTTCGGGCCTGCAGTCGCTGTCGAGCCCCTGGGGTCTTGGATCCTGCACCAATGGAAAATGAAGGGGCCGCCGATCCTGGAAAGATTCAACAAAATCTCATCAGGGCAGCTGCTCCCTGAAAACACTTCTTTGGGTGCTCTAATCCCTGGAAGGTCAGGCCAATAGGACTGTGGGTGCTTGGATAGGGCTTCCCAAGCTGTATCAATTGCTTTGGGGGATGGACCTAACTGAAAACGCAAAACCCCAGAATCATAGGTAGTTTGGGAGAGGCCCAGGAAGACATTTTTACCCAATTTTCTAGTGATCCAGGAAATCTGGCCCAATAAGGCTTTGCTCTCTGCTGCCAACTCCAAACCTGGGTTGTGCTGGACTCTCAGCATGCCCACATCTTTCTCATGCTTATGAGCCTGATCTTCCAGAAAAGGCCTCAGCCAGAAACCTGCCAGCCCACCCCACCCTATTCCCTCTTCAGAGAGGAATAAGCAAGCCACGCTGGCAACAAAGAGACTTGCCAAGCTTACCAAAGGGTCCGACTCCAACAAAGCCTTGGGTGGGTGTTGAGGATGCCCCAAAGGAGAGGCTGCTGCCTGATGTGCCCACTCCAGGGGTAGGGGTGTTCTGACCAAAGGTGGGTGTGGAGGTGCCTAGAATGGAGAGAGAGCAGAGAACTGTAGAGACTAGGCCAGTGAGCAGAAGGTATCAAAGCAGATGGTAATGAAACTTGCAGGGAGATCTGCTCTTTGTATGGGCCTTCTCCACAGGACACCTTAATCCTGAATCACTGTTCTGGTTCATCCACCAAAAGGAATTGCACGGCGTAAGTACATCTTAACACTTGGTGCTCCAGGTAAACTTACCTCTCCCCCAATCTGCTAACTAGTGAGGGGCAGCAGACAAAAAGACCCTCAGTGTTGCCTTCTGGACACTCAGTAGAGCCTCTGCACTCACCAAAACATAGCAGAAGGGGACACTCAGTGGATCCCCAACTTCTAGCTTGACCAGGTTAACTCCCTTCGACCAGGACTAATCATGTTATGCCTTTTATCCCTATTTATCTGTCCCATCCCCTCCAGAAATCTGAGCCTTCAACCAAACCCACCACCACTCCGATCCACCGGGTAGGTCCCCTAATCTGCCCATGGGCCTCCAATGGAACTCAGTCATCAGCAAACTCTTTTGCCCTCACCTAATGCCCAGTAGTGACGCTGCTTTCTCTAGCCCCACTGAGGGAAGGCTGCATTCTCTCTCATATGCGCTTGTCTCAGCCTGATGTCGTACAGGTACCTTTCTTGCTCCCTGAGGCCCAGACCATTCCACCCCAATCTATTCCTCTACCCAACCTCCACCATTCCTATGGTCATACCTTGTCACCACCAGGAACTGCTCTAGCTCTCAAATCTTAACTGCAACTACTGCACTCTTTCTTCCCGCTATTTCTAGTAGTCCTGCATTTCTTTAATCTCACCAAGACCTCCAAGTCCACTGCCCCTCCTGCTATACTTGCCTGAGTTTAAACAGGCTGGGTTTTACCAGCTATCCTCTTATTTTAGGTCTACACCTTGACGACTGAATGTTGCTGGGGAAAAACAACAGTGCTAACTGGTCTCACTTTAAAATTCATAACCACAATTTTCCAGCCCTTAAATTGCCTGGCAGTTCTATTACACTTTCTCATTACCTTCGTTTCCACTCTCCAAAATGACTATTTTGAGACCTTTCTCTATATACATTTCACCTTAATCCACCCCCCAAGGTTTCTTATTTAATGAAGAAAACAGAAGCTATCAGGATCAAAACTTCTAATTCACCTTTTACATGGCAAGTAAGATAATTTCTCTGCTTGAAATTCTAGTGATTTCCCTTAGTACTTAAAATCCACACACTTAACCCTGGCCATGGATGATCTTCAACTCTGCCTGCCTCAAACCCTTTTTATACCATTTACATTTTTAAACTTCTAGCCACACCTTGCTTTTTTCTGTTCATACCAGGCTTGTTTCTGCCTCTGGGCCTTTGTGCTATCTCCTGTACCTGCAAAGCTCTCTCTCTCACACACACCTACCCACCCTTACTCGCAACCCCTTTCTGTCAAATAGCCTTGGCTTAAATTCATTTCCTCAGAAAGGCCTTCCTTTATTACCTAACTAGCTCCTCCACAGTCAGTAATTACATATTTTATCAAGACATTTATAGTCATATGACCTATTTATATATTTAATGCTTGTCTCCTCACAACCATAATGTAAAGTTCCTTAAGAGCAGACTATGCCAGCACTTAAAACAGAGCCTGGCACAGGAGACCAAATCAATTCCTAATCTTACCTCCAAACACAGGCTTACTCTCAGGCGTGCTGGCCACATTGAAGGCAAAGGGTGTGCTCTGGCTGGATGCGCCCAACGTGTTTTGACTCAAGCCTCCCCCAAAGGGGGCTGTGCTGCCGGTGGTCCCACTCTGTCCTCCTCCAAAGTTGAATGCTCCAGAGGTAGAGCTGGTGCCTGGGGTAGCCACATTGATCCCAAACCCCCCACTGCCAGCTGGGGCTGCTGAGCCCCCAAACGTGAAGGGTGATGGTGCTGTGCTGCCAAACACTGAGCTACTGGTCCCGCTGCTGGTGGTCTGGGTTGTAGCTCCAAAACCAGAAGTGGTGGCTGCACCAAAGGAGAAAACAGCTGTGGTGCTGCCAAAGGCTGGCTGGGTGCTGGCAGGGGTGCCGAAGGCAGAGGCTGTGGGTTTCAAACCACCAAAAGCTGACTGCGCAGTGTTGCCAAAGGCTGGCTGGCTTGGGGTTGGTGCTGGAGTTGCAGTTGGGGCTGGGGCTGCAGAGTTTCCAAAAGTAAAAGAGTTGCCAAAGCTGGGGGCAAGGGTTGGCTTTGTAGCCCCCTGTTGCTGCCCATCAGTGGCCCCAAAAGGCTGGGGGTTGGCTCCTGGATATGATGGGAGAGGGGCCTTGGTGCTTGAGCCAAAGGGAATGTTGAATGTTGGGGTGGTAGTGCTACTGAATGTCAGGGTAGGCTGGCTGGTGGTGACCGGGGCCGAGGTTGTAAGGGTGCTGCCAAAACCACTAAAGCCAGCGGTGCTGTTGCTGGTGGCTGCCTGCACGGCACTGGGTAGGGACTGGCCAAAGGTGGTGGTGGTGGTCGTTGTCGTCGTTGTTGAAGTAGGCATGGCAGGAAGCTTGCCAAACTGGAATATGGGGCCTATGGCTGGAGTAAAGCTGGCACCAGAGGCAGGGGGATTCCCAAAGAGGAAAGGCTGGGAGGTGGAAGTGGTGGTGCTAGTCATGCTGTTCATGGTGCTGGTCACATTGCTCACACCAAAGCCAAAGGCAGGCTTTGAAGCCGAGTCTGCAGAAGTGCTGGCTGTGGTCACGGAAGCCACTGTTGAGGTGGCACTGGCCTGGCCAGTGAAAAGAGGGGTGCCTGTGGTTGTGGCTGGAGTAGTTGTTTGATTGAAGGAGAAGGGAGTTGACAAGGGCACAGATGTAGGTAGCCCTATGTTGTCAAAAATAGGCTTGAAAGTGAGGGGTGAGGTGCTGGTAGTTGTGGGGAGGGCAGAGCTAAAAGATGCTGGGGTTGTGACCTTGGAAGGGCTACATGGCAAGGGGCTCTCATTCTCGCTTTTGGGTGGGACCACAAAAATGGGCTTGAACTTGGGAGATGTTGAAGACATAGCAGGCGCTACAGAGACAGAAGGGTTAGCCGGTGGAGTGCTCAGCATTCCAAACAGAAGACTTGGCTTGGGGGTGGGGGATGGGGCAGACAGGGCTTGGGTTGTGGCAGATGTCTCAGCCTGAGGGGACAGAGGTGACTTGGTGGTGTCAGTGACTACTGTCGTGGAAGAAGTAGGGGTCAACCCCAAGAAAGTAGCTGTGGATTTGGAGTCTGAGGAGGTGCCTGGAAGGGGCTCTGACTGTGAAGAGCCAAGAGGGCTCAGAAGGCCGGGTGTCTTCAGAGGCGAATGGGCCACAGTGGTTGCCACTCCAGCTGAATCATCTGGGAAGAGTAGAGAAAGCGAATTCTGAATACCTCACACATGACGACATTCAATGCTTTTGTATCCTCCCTGTGCCTACCACAGTGCTGGGGATTTAAGTCAATAAATATGACTAAATCTATGCCACTGGTCCTTAAAGTACTCATTCCTTAAAAATCAAGGAACTGTTCCTTATTTCCACTCTTCATAGATCATAAGGAAAACAGTAGGGGATAAAACTTTGCCTAATTGAGGTTAAATGTGTGGAAACTTAAGAAAATCCAATCAACTGAAGTCAAGTCCAGCTAATAACCTAGATAAACCTCACTCATCTAACAAAGATTTACTATATTTGCCTACCATGTGCTAAGTGCATATAACCATGAATGAGATAAGTCTCTGCCCCTGAGCCCTGGGACAGGCTGATATATAACACATACTACTACTACATGATAAAGTACAGTAACAGAAGTGTGTGTATATGCAGTACTATGAAGGCAGGGGGCTGGACCAATCAACAGCCCTTTGGAAACCTAGAGGGAAAAATAATATTATCTTATGCCTGTGGTCTAATAAGCATGTGACATCTCAACCCTGTAATCACATTTATACTTCAGTGATACCTCATGAATTAAGCATTATTCTCATTTTACACATGATGGCAAGGCTCAGAGCAGCTAAGGAACTAGGTTTCAAATCAAGAGCCATCTGACGACCAAAACTAAGCTTCTTTTCCTAGCTTAAGTGTTACAGCTCCCCTTCCCCAAAATTTTCCTGATTACAGAATCCTGAAGCTCTTAAGCTTACATCAGCTCAGGTCTGGTAAGCCAAAGTAGGTTCAATCCTTATAATTTCCAGCGACTGACAGGCATGATGCTTTTACTTCACTCTCAACAAAGACTGATGTCATTATATGCTCTAAAGGAAGCTCTCCTACTCACCTGGGAAGGATGGTGGGCCTGGGGAATTCTGCATCTTCTTCAAGCTCTCCAACAGTGGGTTAGTGCTTGGGGCTGGGGGAGAGGTTGGGGAGGAAGCAGTCCCAGCAGTAGGCAGGGTAAAAGTAAAAGGCTGAGTGGTAGGTGGGTTCTCAGTGACAGAGCTCGAGGAAGCATCTAAGGAAGAAAGAGAAGATTCAATCGTCCTCCCCGGTTTGGGAATTCTTTCCAGTAGCATATTGTAGAGCACGGGGATGCTCAGGGTCTCAGTATAATTCATTTAGAAATGCTTCCCCTCAACCTCGGTGCTTACTGTTCTCCAGATTCCACTGAAGACCCAAATGTATTTCTCAGATGAGAAAGACCAAAAATAAACAAATTCTCCCTGGAGTATGAAAGATCTTCATTCCTTACCAGTCTTATCTTCCAAGACCTTGTTAAACCACCGTAATGAAGCTTTCTTTTCCAAGTCTAGGTCCTCAGCAGTAATTGAATAACCAAGCTGGGGAGGTGGAGGCTACCCAAGAGAAAAAGTCAAGTCAATCAGAAGAAATTGAAGAAACCTGTATTTAGCTTTCCTAATACGACTTAAAAGAGCTAAGCTGGGGTGGGCATGGATAGGTAGGTGGAAAAGACCATACCAAAGTCAGCTGGTCCCCTCGCCTGGAGGGCAGCAGCTGAATCTTCCGTTTACGCTGCCCAGAGCTGCCAGGTGTAGATGGGGAATTCCTCAAGTTCTGTTTCTTCCATGTGGTTGTATCTACAACTAAAGAAAGAAAGTCTTGTTTTCTTCCTCCCCCTCTTCCAGAAATGGACAGATGTATTAATCCACATGGTTTGTAACACTGAATTTTTTCTGGGTGTCTCTGAAAAATTTTATCTTCCATGATCTGGGCTCTTGTTTGCAAGATTATTTCTAAGAGTCAAGAGGCTATAAAGAGAGAATTACTTTAGATGCATACAATTGCTGGACAATAATTCCTAGACTGTTCACAGATACCTCAACTGAAGCTTATCCCTATCCCACAGTTACCCTGGGTTACACTGCATTTATTTATGTCACCTTTCTCCCTTACTAGACTATAAATCTCTGAAGGACAGTATATACCAGGCCCTCTACACAGCAATGCTGAAAGTGTGTTTTGAATAGGTAGTAGTCTATACATCTTCCATAAATACTTCTACCACCACAAGCCACTCTTACGTGTTTATCAACTTACCCTTTTCTCCCTGGGACTCCTTGTCGGTTACTAATGGGGTTGAAGGACTAGAATGATGAGAAAGTTCCTCTTCTCTGAAGGAGAAAAACACAGAATTAAGTTCAGAAAGACTTCCTGAAAATAAATACTGAATAACTTATACCATCCTAACTCCCAAATGGCCAAAGTCTAGATCCACCATGATTTGAGATCTCAGTGTGCCAGGACAAAAAAAAAAAGGGAAAAGAAAATTCTCACAGAAATGAAGGGAGGTAGTTAACAAAAACCATGGACAAACCACTGTCTTAAAACAAGCACAAAACAATTATCTTCAAAACCTTCCTTACAACTGGCCACATTATTGAGAGTTCTAGGCACAGACCTAATCCGAGAGAGTGGCATTCTTGTTGACTGTATGTAGACCTGGAGGGTCAGCTGGAGTCAAGAACATGAAGCCTACTGCGCACTGACATTATTCACTCCGTTCACTCTATTCTCACGCCTAGTCACTTGTGCAGAAGAGAGCCAGAGGGCCCTACAGTCAGTGCATAAAGAACTAAGAAATGAGAGCAATTCTGGAAGGACAGCAATTCACTGTCCTTCTAGATGTTAATTTGATTCTCCAAACCAGAAGTTATAGAAAGCCTAAGAGCCAAGTAAATGTCCCTCCTTTCCTGACCAATAATCCACACAGCAAATAACTGATTACCTTATTTTCTTTGCTGGCCTCTCTGGTGTCTGGGAGCGGGATGAGGCTGGGCTGGAAAAGGGTGATGAACTGGGACCACTTCTCTTCCATAGCTAAAAGTCAAACAAAAGTTACATGACTGACGGTAGGTGATAATTCAGCATTTGACCTTCAATATAATTTTATGGTTCCATTCATACTGCATATAAAGTATCTTTGTTAGTGACTAAAAAATATTTCTTTGTGAAGGAAGGCTCCTGAAAAGAAAGTTGGCAATATTAACTATGGGATAAAAAAGTCTAAAAAGTAATGAAATGCTAATAAATGTAGAAAGAATGAATGTACTTTTTGCATATATTAAAAAGAGGGACATTATATTAAATGATTTAGAGCTATGATACATATTTACTCTATACTGTCTATGGATATGATCAGAGTAAATTAAGAAAATGTTCTAGTAAAGATAAGCCCACAAACTAATTTAGCTTTTGCTTACATATGCTGTAATGACATTTATGACTTTTACAACACCTAGGTACTTATCATTATATAATAATCATCTATACATCTGTCTCTTCTGCCAGGCAGAGTCCCTTGATAGCAAGGATGGCCTGTGTTTTTGTTTTTTAATTTTTTTTTTAATCCTTAATGGAGGATATTTTTTCCATTGCTTTTCAGAGAGAGTGGAAGGGAGAGAGACAGAGAGACAAGACGGAGTTTAGAAACATCGATGTGAAAGACATATTGACTGGTTGCCTCCCACAAGCATCCCAACTGTGTTAGGGCTGATGCTCTAACCACTGAGCCAAACCGTTCAGGACAAAGATGGTATGTTTTCATCTTCACCTCCTTCAAAGGGGCTAGCAGTGAAGTAACTGACAAAGGGCACTCTGCAAGTAAATCTTTGGCCTCATTATAAAGACACTAAACTATCATATTTTCCTACTGAGAAGCTTCTAGTGATTTCTTACTCTGTAGCAGTTACATGATATAAGCACAAACAGGGAGAAACAGTGCTTAAAGAAAATTCAAAGGAAGAAAAGGATTTAAAAATCAAAGACCGTGCCTGGCTGGCGTAGCTCAGAGGTTGAGCATCAAGTGACCTATGATTTCAGGAGATTGCAGTTCGATTCCTGGTCAGGGCACATGCCCAGGTTGTGGACTCAATCCCCAGTGGGGGCTGTGCAGGAGAGAGCCAATCAATGACTCATCATTGATGTTTCTCTCTCTCTCCCCTGTCCTCTCTCTGAAATCAGTAAAGACATATTTAAAAAACAAAAAAAATCAAAGACCCGTGGTAAAACAGCTCCATAAGACTATTATCAGGAAACCCAAGGCTCAGAATTAGCTTGAGAAAAATGCTGAAATCAATATTATTATTTTTTTAATGTTACTCTCAGGTAAGAACAAGAAAGGACAGTCATTTTGGGGGGGTAGCGGCAGCAGGGAATCTTGGGCCTTAAACCTTGCATTTTTAACAAAGTGCTAAAGGTGATTCTAATGTTTCACTCACCAGGGTTAAAGACAACCTGGTTCAACACTTAGGGGAACAATGTATCTCTACTTCATAGACTGTACACAGACACATAATCCAGATGTAATAACAATTTACATGTAAGAAGTGTAACAAACAAAACAACTGTAAAAAAATATATGAGTTGTTAAAATACATGGGTTAGAAAAAAAGACTTTTTATGCCAGAAACAAAAGAAGAAAACTGAGAGTGTTACATAAAAACTAAGAACCTCTCTATATAAAAATATTGCTATGCCTAGCCGGCATGGCTCAGCAGTTGAGCATCAACCTATGATCCAGAAGACCAGAGTTCAATTCCTGGTCAGGGCACATGCCCAGGTTTCAGGCTCTACTCCCAGCACAGGACGTGCAGGAGGCAGCTGATCAATGGCTCTCTGTAATCATTAATGTTTCTCTCTCTATTCCCTTCCCTTCCTCTCTCCAAAATCAATAAAAATATATATAATTTTTAAAACTGTCATGTGGGAAGAAGACTTTACTGTAAGTATACCTGTTGTACCATTTGTATTTTCAACAACACTAATGTTTCCATAAACCAGAAATAAAAATCTATGTGGGCAGAAAACAAACGAAAAAACTCAAAACCAAAAACAAACTAAAAGGCAAATATTTTCAATTAAAGAGAGGAGTTGATATCCTTAACATGTCAAAATGTAAAACTTGCAATTCCATATAAATGCAATGAACACATAAGTGGGCAAAAGATATAATGAGGCAAGTCACAAAAAGAGATAGATGATCTATGTATCTGGCAGTCAATTTAATTCTGCTTTGCAACTCAATTTTTATTTACCAAGTTCCTAACTCTTTATATTTTACAAAGAATGCAAAGATAAGCAAGACCATTCCCATCAAGAAATTTATGATTTGGAAAAGAGAATAGTACATAAAATGATTATAATAGTCTCTAAAGATGTCTCTAAAAAGGAGCCTAAGAAAAAAGAGATTATGCTGAGTTCATTTTGAAGAATCAATAAAGGAATAAGGTGACATTTGAGATGGTCTGCAATTTGATAAAACATACATATCATTCCAGATGGAGAACAAAACAAGAAAAGGGAAGGAAGCAGGAAAATATTAAGTGCTCTTAGAAGATAATAAATGTTCTGGCTTGGCTTAAGTATAGGAATAAATAAATAATAAAAGACATGGTCAGAAATGCAAGATAGGGGTATGAAGTTTTCTTTTTTTTTAAAATTAAAAAAATATATATATCTTCATTGATTTCAGAGAGAGGAAAGGAGAGGGAGAGAGAGAGCTAGAAATATCAATGATGAGTCATTGATTGGCTGCAGCCCGCAACCCGGGCATGTGCCCTGACCGGGAATCGAACCCTGATCGCCTGGATCCTAGGTCAATGCTCAACTGCTGAGCCACACCCGGCCGGGTGGGGTATGAAGTTTTCAATGCCTACTTTGGAGAATATGTCTTGTAAGAATACATGGAGATATCAATGCCACACACAAAGAGGTAGAACAGTTCACATCTATAATTGGTACAGCTTAACATTTGTAATGATTTTATATCATCAAAACTACAACTTCTAGTTTGGATAGCTGTAGACTTAGCTATTTACTAGTGTTCCTCTGGAAAAATATAATTGAGTCAAGTATCTATACTACCACTTGCACCAAATCTATATTGATTACTGGGGATATTTACTACTTCAGCACACACTTCTTTCAAAGAGAAGCTTCAACATAAAGAACTTTCATATTACTTTAATTTCCCTTTCCTAAGATCTACTTCTGAGAACTTACCATATATTCCAATATCACACAACAACAGGGGACTGGAAACTACTTATAATAGGACACCTAAGAGCTATTAGTGTCAGTGAGGACAAGCAGAAAATGCTGAAGAAAATATGAAATACATCTGTATGAAGGTATTGGCAGTATGAAGAGCTACCAAGGCAGTGAGACACTGCAGAAACAAGACAAAGAAGAGAAGCCAAGAGGTGAGACCCACCTTTAGGCCTATGTTTTCCCTCATGGTGACTGCTAATTCCAAAAGTTAAAGCTGCTGTTGAGAGGCTGAGAAAAGCTTCTGGCAGCCTCTTAGGCTTAGACAGACAAAAACTGGAATTCAGGGCTTTCCAATGTAGAGGGGCCCTAATAAACACCTCAGGCTTTTGGTTGGTATCCCAAAGGCTACATACTAGAATATAGGGCAAATCAGAAAAAAACAGCCTTCACAAGAACTGACAGCCAACTCAGAACCACGTAAATTCCAACTGGAGGGAGGTAATCTGTGTCTACCCTAGCTGCCTGCCAGAGGCAAAAGTAAAACCTCTCTGGAGGAAGATACCATCATTCAGAGCTTCAAGTTACAGTCACCGCCCCCCCCCAATGTCTCACAGAAAAACAAACAAAAATCAACTATATAAGAAGATAATGTTTAACCAAACAGAAAAAAAAGCAGACGTCAGAAACAGGATTCAAATACTGGAATTATCAAACAAGACTTTAAGGAACTGTTTATTATAAGAATTTAAATGGCAATATAAAGAATCTTGGCAATCAGAAAATCAAAAAGAAAAAACAATTAAAAAACAGGAGGACAGCTTAAGGGAGCTGTGGGACAACATGAATTATAACAATATTCACATAACTGGAGTGCCAGAAGGGGAAGAAAGTGACCAAGGGCTAGAGAACCTGTTGGAAGAAACAATGGCAGAAAACTTCCCTAACCTGGTGAAGGAAAAAGTCACACAAGTTCAGGGGGCACAGAGTCCCAAGCAAGAATCCTAAGAGGCCCACACCCAGACACATCATAATTAAAATGCCAAGAATTCAAGACAAAGAATATTAAAGGCAGTGAGAGAAAAGCAATCTGTTACCTACGAAGGAGATCCCATAAGGCTGTCAGCTGATTTCTCATCAGAAACTCTACAGGCCAGCAGGGAATGGCATGAAGTATTCAAAGAAATGAAAAGTAAGGATCTGAATCCAAGACTACTCTATCCAGCAAGGCTACCATTCAAAACAGATGGTGAAATAAAGAGCTTCCCAGACAAAAAAGGGCTAAAGGAGTTTATCACCATCAAAACAGCACTGCAAGAAATGTTAAAAGGGACTGATGTAACAAGAAGTAGAATGCTTGGTGAGGCTCCCCTGTGAGGCCATCTGGACCAGGGATTTTGTTTGCTGGGTGTTTTTTGATCCCTGCTTTGACTTCATCGGCTGTCGTTGGCCTATTCAGGTTTTCTGATTCTTCCTGATTCAGTTTTACCTTATCTCACNTATTATGCATAACCCATGGACACAGACAATAGTGTGGTGAAGGCCTGGGGCAGGGGCGGGATAGGAGGAGTCAAGGGGGTGGGGAAAGGGGACAGCAGTAATATTTTCAACAATCAAGACAAATTAAGAAAAAAATCCTGGCAAATGGTCACTACTAAAAAACAAAACAATAACTGAAATTAATGCAATGGATGGATCCTAAGGTAGTGATGTCAGCATTATGGTGGAGTGAGATGACCTCCTGGTTTCTCCCCTTAAAGTTACAATTTGGACAACTATAATCAACAGAAGGTTCTCTGCTCAATACACAAACATGTCCGAGAGATCCACAC